AAGCTATATTATTATATATTGTGATAACGACTGATAAATTGAGAACGTATACTAACTTAACAAAAAAACTATATAAATTAGTTGTAAAGGACTAGCCATATGACTGGTTCTCCGAAGTTTTTCGGCACGGCTGGTGTAGTTAGGTCTTTCCACCAGCCGACCTGCCTACCTTGAACTGACTGTGGCACCTACCCCATTTTTGCGATGGCATTTTCATTTTTGTTCCGTGAGGGATCGAACACGAGACCTTCCTGAGGGCATGCATTGACCTAGACCCTAACCACTCGGCTATCCCATAGCGCCTCATGTCTAGCCCTATATAGTAAACAAAAAAGTTTATCTATTGCGTATTCCCGATTGGAAGAAGTTATTAGTACCCATCGCCAGGTTGACAGTAATTATGATTAGCAATACGCAAAAAGAAAGCTCAGTTAATATGAGAATGGTGTTTAACGGAAAGATTTCCAGAGAGGGAGGTGTATTTAAAAACAAGAAATATTTAAAAATTGTTTTCCATCCTCAAGTCTGACAAAAAAGGTCAGCAAAACAAGCATACATCTCCTACATAGCATACATTTCATATGATGACTGCACAAGCGTTCCCCAGCAATGAGCATTTCAGGTGTAGCCCAAAATCAGAACGCCAGTAAGGGTCCAAAATACCAATATCAGTTTGGATTTTGAAGGACTTTTTTGTCAGATGTTCCATGTTACAGCAAGATTAGGCACCTTCAGATTTGCGTATTTGAAAAATCACAATGTAACAAAAAAAAACAGGAGCTTTTAGTCCGCAATGGGACAACAATGCTTTAGGCCCAAAATCAACTAGCGAAGCATTCATAATACTGCTATTTACTCATTGCCCCATCCACTGCGCATATTTACTACTCCCACGCAGATTTTTCGGAAAACTCAAAGAAGAGGGAGATTTTTGAAGAATGGCGAGGATCGACTGGAATGGCGATCGCCATGTTATCGAAGAGGAGTGGATACGGAAACGGCCCCTCAGTGACAGGGATGTAAAGACGGCCGAGCTCAGCGTGGGCAATGAGAGTTTGACTGACTTACCGGTTCAAGTCGGCACCTCGTTCCATTTTCGCCGCCTTAAAAAATGTCTACAACAAAAATCCCGTCGGGACCTTGGCCTTCAAACACTCTAATATGACAAATATAAACTATTTAGCGTGCTAGATGCTAGCACCGACGAGCCAAGGTTACGTCCCTGAAAAAAAATGACAGGTTTTGTTACAGTGACAAGGAATTCGGAGAGCGTAGTAAACAGGAAAGCCCGCCCCTATCAAGCCTGCCCGCCTACTAGTCCTGATGTCTCGCCAGTGGGATACTTCATGATTGGTGTTGGTCGTGGGGGAATGATATTTCCGTGGAGACATCTTTGAAAGAGCTCAATAAGTTTACTGGAAAAGAAAGCTGAAAGAAGACTTGTTATCTGAAGAGAACCAGCCCCTTTGACCCTTCTGCTGGATGCATTTGCTTATTCTACGATTCTGTTTAAGGGTCCCATAATCCGACTCACGGAAAGTACGTGGGGAGTCGCTTCTAAATCCCAAGTGGAAGACACTTCCTTTTTCATATGTGGAAGACATTGGGCGAATATATGAATCAACTGTTAAAGCACACCATACTGTCACAGTTGCACGGCAGCCTTATGTACACCGCATAAAGAACTTCNGAGACCCTTAAACAGAATCGCAGAATAAGCAATTGCATCCAGCAGAAGGGCCAAACGGGCTGGTTTGCTTACCTCTTATCTAAACGATGAAAGATTGAACGAAGCCGCTGAAACCTGTAAAGGAGCTTATGTAATACGATATGGACAAAGGGCAGCATCCGATTCCCCTTTCACGTCATGGGATTCAGTTCTAAGTCGGGAGGTGAGGAAAAAGCTGACGCCAAAGACGCCAAAGTTCAGTGCGGTGATAGTTCATTGAGAAGTAGGGTAGAGTTTGACCCCATCTCCAGCGCTATGGCAACGATGATGTGATAGATTCCAAGGACGCCTCATACATGATGTTCATTTTCAACGATATCGGATTACTGGCAGCTGAGTAGCCCCCTAAAAACCTTTGCCACTTTCGGTTGATTGCACGATAATCCTTTTTGTTGGACGTCCAGACCATTCCCAATAATGCTCTGAATAGCCTGGCTTCTAAAACTGCAAACCAGTTACGTTGATTCCATCATCATTTGTTGGGAAAGAGTGGAAGGATTGGCATCTAACTGGTATTTCTTTGGAATATTACCATTACGATATTAGGTTGTACGGAAAATACCTGCGAAACAGTTCACAGAAGTTCAGACTTCCTTCAGATTTTCTGAAGGCCTCCATGGGCTTTCTTGTGAGGACAGTTCTCACCCGTATACGCATAACATATCCGGCCACATTTTCCTGGCTTATTTAGCCGTATAATGGCCGGAATGTCTCCCCATATTATATTCAACATGTACTTCTTCGTGAGTTCAAATCTGGTCCCTCCGCTGCTCAGTGCCAACCATCTGGTCTCGAAACCCCGTATAAGCGATTACATGTACACCACTTTCCAAAGCTTCACTGTCTGGATCAAAAAGGTCGAAGATGAAGCTCGATCTGGTTAATCGATTGGTATACCATGAAA